ATGGGTAGAATGGCCTCATAAGGAATCCTGAGACTTTAAGCATAAGCTCGTACCCATTTAAGATAAGGCTCCAAAGGAATGGAGTTCTTACGCCCAAGTGTTTTGCTATCAACTTTGTTCACCATGCCCCAAGCTCTTATGAACCTCTGACGATAACCCTGAACATCAATCTCATAGTCAAATACGATTCATTAGACAAGTGTATCATGAGGACCATCCCTCCTAGTATAACCAAATTGTCACAACGCCAAACAAGGATTATAAGTGATTCCTCCCCTAATGCCTAGGAGAGGGACATTAGAGAATTCCCCACAGCGGTCAATGATGGTAACGTTCTCCAAGGATCAAGGACACCAATGAATGTCCCAATGTGTGAGGGACATCAACCTATTAAACCATCTCATGCCCTGCTCATTATTTAACACAGATCGAGGCAGGTACAAAATAAACCACCTAGCCAACAGAGGAGTGCAACACAGCAGGGTCCATCTTCTCTTTACAGTGCGGGTATGTAGAGAGTGTAGGATGTCTCCAAGTAAAGTAGGCATCGGATTATGAGACAGAAAAACCTTGACCGTATTTACATCTATGAGTTGGTCTGAATTAGGAAATAGTACCATCCCATAGATGAGAAAGACCAACACTTCTTCAAAAGCTTGTAAATCCAGGGTATCCCAAAAATGATGAGCTTTCTCAAATAGAAACTTATCTAGAAACCCTTTGATGCCTCTTCTTATTTCCCAATTTCCACTACATTAGACCGTTGTAGACAGAGCATGATCAATCTCTTTAGGTTTTGGGCCTCTTTCCATACCAATGAAGGGTAACTGATCAAGAATGGGCACTCCCGATAACTGAGAAAACTCCTCCATGGTAGGCACCAATTGGTAATCAGAAAAGGTGAAGCAATGATGTAAAGGGTCGAAGAACTGGAAGAGCACCTTCAACATTTCTCCATTAGGGCTTAAGGTGACCAGCTTGAGAAGTCGACCATGTCTTTCAGTGATTGGAGACCTCTCAGGAACCCTTAATGTTAATTCCTTGAGTTGAGGAGGTACCCTTATGAGGTTGACTTGGATAGTATTCCTGCGAGTGGATGCCATGTCCTACAAAACAATACAAAGATAAGTCCTAAAAATCCTTGAAATGGTTAGTATGATATGCCATGTTATGATGTTATGATATCATGATTATGCTAAGAAAACACAAATATAGCAAGCATAAGCAATTCACACAAAGACCTTAGGTTTAAAGCTTGCATGGGTTTTAAGGTAAGTACCCTCTTGAAGTTTAGTTGGTTCAACCTGTCCTAGAAATTAATCGGGTTCTAAGGGATCTCAATATCACTGATCTTTTCCACAAGTTTCGTTTCAATCGACAACTGACTTGCCACCAAACAAAACTCGGGAGTCAAATCTCAATGAGTGTAGTATCGAGTATCAACCGACTTAGGACTATACCAAAGACGGCTATCTCACTACTTCCTAATGGCCAAGTTGTTCAATTAAAGGTTCTAAGGTTAGTTGATGCTTCATGACACCATGCAGCGGCCCCGTACTCTCCTTGAATACTCAAGGGCTACCGGTACCAACCAAAGTGTCTCATCAACGTAACTATCGCTTTAACTGTGTCGGTATACCCTGCATAATTTCCACGATCTATTGCTACTTACCTAAAAGGTGCCCCAGATTTAGGTGTAGGATCTATATTAACCCAAATAAAGCCCTCAAAAGTAAATCAAAGAAAGCACAGTAAAGCAGTTAAATAATGAACTAACTCTAAGGTGACCCCACTTTTTACTTCATCCCCAACAGAGTCGCCAGTTCTGTGATATGGTGGCAGAACCGACTGTTTAATACTGGTTTTGCATTTGTGTTTGCAAATATTGTGGTAAGCAAGAGTCGCCACCGACTTTTCTTTTATCCATATTAAGGAAAGGGTGAAAAGAACAGAAAAAGACCCTTTTTAGAGTTTTCTGAGTAAGAGGGGTAGATTATGGAAAGGGAAGGTGTTAGCACCCTTTCCATCCGTAGTTTTCTACGGGCTTTTAGATGCTAGTTTATGTTTTGAAATTGCTTGTGCTTTGTGTGTTTTGAAAATGCCTTAGTGCGGAAATTCGCTTTATGATAACTCTTGTATCAGTCCTCAAGAGTGTTGACAAAGTGAATGTTTTTTAAAGTGTTTTCGAAATGTGTAAGTGTAAAAAGTTTGTTTTATTTGAGCAAGCATCTAGCAGCTATCTACTTGTACTCGAAAAAAGTTTGTTCTTTTCCTCTTATCCTTTAGACAATGTTATCCTACTATTAGTGAGTAGGTAGCCCTATCGTTGGATGTTTTGAGGGACAATCGAAGGGACGTTACGGTCACGAAGGCAACTTGGAAAGGAATTTTAGTAACTGTCCTAAAGTTCTAAGATCACTTTTAACCGAGGCAACATCGAGAGGGTCATCGAGGGACTTATGATCTTTCAAACTAGAGGACAACCACTAAAACTTCTCACGTTTCGAGAATTGTGACCGTTTTTCGAAGGCAACTGAAGTGGGGTACCCTAGAGGTGTACACGTGCATGGTGTATTATGTTCAGTTATTTTAGTCTTGTGTTAAGTTTGCTAGCATTTGATTTCAGTCTTTTCATACAAGCCTGATTACTAACAGCCAATATTTAGCAGAAATTTAAAGTGCAAAATTTAAATCTACGCTATTACAGTGCTTCGGGGAGGGGGTATTTACATGTTCAAATGGGGGAAAATGAAGAAAGCGATAAAGTCCTATTTTAATCTATTACATACTGTCAGCAGGTACATTATTATAAAAAATGCAAGAACAAAATAAATGCGCGCAGAATAGAGACGAACGGCTAAAACCCTAAGAAAATTTCTAAGTAAACAAGAAAATCCTTTTTTGTTGTTTTTGCTTATTTTTTATTAAGAAAAATAATTAAACTAAATCTAAATTTAATTAAGAAAATAAATATTAAATGAAATTAACCTAATTCTAATATTTTTGTGTTTTTATTAAGAAAAATATTTGAATGAAATAAATCTAAGTCTAGTTGATTTTAAATTAATAAAATAATATCCAAATAATTAATTAAATTAATTTACAAAATTAAAATTAATTTAAGAGAAACCTAAGTCTATTTAATATTTTTTTAATTTTGTATGATTCGTTAGAAAAAAAGATTAAAAGTAAAAATATAAAACAAATAAAAGGCTAAAAAAGAAAAACATAAAGTTGGGCCTGATATAAAAAATAAATGGGGGGTGAGCTTTGGAATTTGTAAGGCCCAAAAAGTGGGAGCCCAGAACTCTGCACATTTCCATACGACTGGCTCTTTGAGGATCCAACATGGACACTTCATCCTGAAGCTCTAGATGTGTTACTGATGGATCCAACGATGGTGAGATGACAATGCATGATGTACGCGCCTAGCTTCAAAGCACATGGTCTGCAAATAAAACTTGGAAAAATAATACGTAACAGGCAGGGATCGAACCCATATCCTTGCATACACATAACACCTTAACATACACTCACCCAATCGTTGGGACGACTTTACATTTGTTAATGTAAATACAACAAAATATACATAATGCAAGACAAATGCAAGTGTTGATTTGGTAGACACGCACGCTCCAATGGGCCCCCCTGTGTTTGAAATAACCAATGAAAGCATTACTTTCTGTCACGCTATGGTCCACGCCAGTCAAGCCACTGGGGGTGGTGGCTCCAGTCATCCCCTCCGGTTGGCCAAAATGTCCATCCTGCGAAATATCAAGAAAACAAAAATGAAAGTGACACTACCCCCCTAATTTGGGGTCTACAAATTCAATGGTGGTGGCTATTTGGCCTGAGACGACCTGTATTGTCATGTTCGTGTCTTGGAGGCTTCAAAACCCTAACAATGGCAAATCCTTAAATCTGCATCCATTCTCTCATTCTTTACGTTAGAACAAATCAAGACAATATATAAACATGAATATGTGCATTGAACTTGTTAAAATTGCATATATTGAAGGTTTGAGATCAGGGGAAAAAAGTTACCGATCAGAGGGATAATGTGAGGGTGTTCTGGAATGCATTGGGCTTGTCTCACAAATGGGGAAGGCTTATGGGACCTTCAGGAAGAAGATAGCACGCTTGGTTTGGATGGATGATGGCTGGAAATTCAGTTTTGAATTTCACAACTTTGAGAATTTTTGGCAATTTCGTGTGGTTCTTCTCAAGCAATCACTACAAGAAAATTAGTGTTTAACGACACAAAAATTGCGACAGTTATGTGATAACTGTTGTAATTGACATATAGAGACAGTGTTTACGACAGTTGACACCAACCGTCCCTAATATTTATTTTGCGACGGTATATTTAACCATCATAATATTATTATTACGACGGTAAAACAACCGTCGGCCTCCATTTAACACTTTTAACATTGATTTTTCACCAACAACTAGTCACGACGGTAAAATTAACCGTCCTAAAAGGCATATCACGACGGTAAAGCACCCGTCGCACCCTTAAACCTTTCACGACGGTAAAATTATCCGTCCTAAAATTTATTTCACGACGGTAAAACAACCGTCGCACCCAAAACCTTTAAAAATTCTTTTTATGATTTTTTAGGTTTTCTAATTTGTTGTTTTAGGGTTTGATTTGATTATTAGATTAAATATGCAATAAAATGTGAAAGGCTAACCTCTTAGCATTACTTCCTCTCTCTATGATTCCTCTTTCTTTCTTCTACATTTCTCAAAACTGGAACTAAAAAACTCCAATTTCCTCTTCAGTTCATGACAATCCCGCAACAACAAAAAAAGACAGAACACATGAGGTTTACCAACACGATTCCAACTTGTGTCGATGGATAATTTGGCCGGCGGCTTTGGTGTGTGTGACGATCGGAGTTTATGGCCGAAGCAATAGCGGCGGCCGGTGGTAGTTGAGAGGATGATGGCGGATTGTTGAGCAGCAGAGGGACCTCACATCGGCTGTGTATGCTATGTGGAGAGAGACATTGTGCGTTGTGGTTGTGTGGGTCATACGGAGGTGGCTGATGCAGAGAGGGTCTCTATGTTTGCGGAGATGTGGCTATGACCCAACAAGGGCACCATTGTGGTTGGTGACAGTGACCAGTTATGCACGGTGGCTGGTCGGTGGTGACATTATGTATGGCGTGGATTCGAATCTGTATGTGTCGGTCTCGAGGTATCATTCTGGCGAACAAGCTTTTGGTTTCTACTTCAATATCCTTTCTTTTGCATATAGAAACTTGGATTATATTTATGTGTTATGATATTGTATTATGGTTTTTGACAGGTTGTATGAATTAATGGTGATTTGTTTTGACAAGTTTGGCTTATGGTGAAAATAGAGTTTATGTTTGGTTTTATGGGCTGTTATTGTTGTGATTTGTTATGATAAAAAATGGTGGATGATAGGTAGAATGATTTTATCAAATACCACTTGATTTATCAGAAATAAAGAATGACTTATTGTTGGATTTTTGTTAAATTGTATGTTGAATAAATTGTGTAATCGATAGATATTTGTAGTGATATAAATGTGAAAGGGATGTGTATACTATGTACAAGATTTAGTGTGAGAGTGTTAGTTGTAGTGTAAAAAGTGGAAAATTGTTAAGAAATTGGTGAATGAGAATAGGTGTATGTGATTGATGGTTGGGACACTAGAAGCAAAACGTGAATTAAAAAAATAGTGTGGAGGATATGTGAACAATGTCAATTGTGTTAACAAATAATATAATGAGTTGATTTAAAGAAAGCTCCATCAGAGAGCGCCATCAGAGAATTGGTATTACAGGATACTGCTGCTTATGACAGGTCAGTTGGAAAATGCAACAGTTGCTGTTGATGCATTGTCTGTATGGTAAGTTATTAGTGAGTAACAAGTATTTGAGATTTACAAGTTTTATATTTATTAGTTATTACAGTATTGGAATTGGTTTTGCAGTATGACTATCAATGAATTGGAATTGATTCCATTTGCCTTCTTTGCCTTCTGGTGCTCATGCTATTGCTGGTTCTTTAGAGAAACTTGTTGGTGGTCTTGATGGTTCGATGAGTCAGCGAGATGCTAGTTTAGAGTCCATAGCTACAATTCTTAAAAATAATCCAGGTGCTGTCTCGAAGTTTGTGGAGCTTCAAAATGGAAGAGCGCTGCGTTCTGTAATTGAATTAACCAGGGATCGATTCTCCCGGACAATGTTATCTAATTTATATTTTATTAATGATAATTATATGCTTACCTTTGATTGGTTCAAACATGAACTCTTCTCCCCAACTCTTCATCTCTTTCCCAAAAGTTATACTTCCTGACTAATCGTATTTACAGAGATTTTACCTCATTAGTTCTTAGTTTTGTTAAAGTTAGTAAGTATAACTATTTCAATGTTGTCTTCCAGGTTGCAGCCCTTGGTGCTATTAGCAACATAGTAGTGGACTTTACACCAAATAAGTCAACAATCATACAATGTGGAGGCATTAAAGAGCTTGTCCATTTGACAAAGTCTATGGATTCATCTTTAAGGTTGAATGCTGTGTGGTCCTTGCGGAACATGATATTTCTTGCGGATAAGATGTGCAAGGAAGCAATTTTTATGGAGTTGACTGCTTCTTCAGTAGCTACCCTTATCTGTGGTAATAATCTTCTGTCATTCCATTTCTGATTAATTGATGCCTGTCAAAAGAAAGTTCTCATTGATCAGAAATAAAAAATTGTTATTTGTTCTGTATACTTTGCAGATCCTGAGCCTTCTGTTCAAGAGCAAGCTTTGGCCCTTGTTCGCAATTTTGTTGATGGATGTATGGATTGTGTGGAATTTGCTTTTGCTGAAAATGGTATCATACTGGATGCTGTTGGAAGGCAATTGAAAAAATCCCCAAGAATTGAAATCATTATACAGGTGGAAACAATTTCTGAAACTGATCAGACATTACAATAGGCATTGATATCCAAATTTGGAGAATGAATTATTCATTAAATTTTCCCAGTTTGCTTACCGATCCTTTTGTTTTAATGATACATCTATCGAGCCATTATGGGTATAAAATTTCCGATGCTTATGGTATAATACAAATTAAAACTATTGTTGTAGTCGTTTAATTAAAACTGCCTCATACCTACAAGTATTCTAATAAATCTCAAAAGCAGGTATTAAAAGTAAACCGATTTTCCCCCAGCAGGTATTTGAAAACGAAAACAGCCATCAGATTGAAAATTTATTCTTCATGCTGATTTTTTTTCCTGTTTAGGGGATGTACGCAGTCAGCAATATTGCAAGTGGAAACGAGTTTCATAAAGAAGCCATAATGCAGATGATCTTTCCACAAGCAGAAAGTGGACCTCAGTCATTCTTGAGTCAGTATTTGCAGAGTAATGACAGCCGTCTACGCACATCTGCTGCTTGGATCATAGTAAATCTCACTGCTCCTGCAAGCCCCGGTGCATTTGGCCGGATTGCAAAACTGCGCAATTTTGGCCTTGTTGCTCAAATCAAGAGGATGGCCAGTGACCCTTGCATGGATGTTAAGGTCCTTTAATCTTTATATCAAGTTGTTGTCTTTTTAATACTTTCTCTTGGTCAATTTGTAAATTTTCTTTTGTTGATGCAGCTTCGAGCACGAGTTGCACTTGGGCAGATTATTTCTTTTGGTGATAGTTAAATCAATCAGTTCCTCCTTTTAGAGCACCTTATAAGTTGCTCCTTCTGCTTCCAGCTTCCAAAACGGTATGCTTCAGTGGTTTACTTCAACAACTTTGTCTCTCCTAGAAGTTCCTTTCTAGATATTATTTTAATAGGTTATGTTTATAAGTGGGGTAATTTTCATCTTAAGCTGGTTTTGTAAGATTGAGTTACACCAAACCTAAATTCTAAGATATGCAATTGAGAAATGGAATTAAATCTGATAAAGCTGGTTGTCGTTCTCTATGAAGCACAAATACGGATACCTGACATGATATCGATACTGACATGTTGACACTAGTGATAATTAAAAAACATAAATAAATTGAACGTAATCACATGCGTGAGTGTCGGACCCAGACACACATTTGCTCACAAGTGTCGGTGCTACAATGATCGTTCTATGTATGGGATAAATATTGATTTTTCTTTCTCTTGCTCTGCTTTGTTCTAGTGTGTTGTTTCACTTGAAGGTTTTGTAACATGTTCTATTCTATTCTAATGTGTCCAATTCGTTAATGCTTTTTAAATGCTTCCATTTGCAGGTGCATCAATTTGCTTTTATTTTTTTCAACCAGTCAGAGCAGTGTAAATCTTTTCAATTTTGTAAGCACTCCTGACCCGGTTACCATTCCCTCCCCCAAAGTCTATTATTTCTTGTGAGTTGGAAGCTCAAAGTAGATTTACAGGCTATACAGTATTTGTACCATGTGAGTAGTCAGTGTCGATTTTAGAACTTAGTTTCAACTTCATTGCGGTTCTGATGCAGTGACAAATAGTGGAGTTTTATGGGTAAGCAAAGTGCTGAGGGGTAGTGTTTGAAGGTGTTTCTAGTATTCGTGCATACCTTGTAACTTGTAAACTAGTTTTGTGGTTCATAAATTGCTTGTTCTCTTTTCGGAGAAAACAGATGACTCAATTTTGTTTGAACCTAAATAATGCTTTGTTATTTACAGCTAAATGATGCCTTCTAAATGGGTCCCGGTGCATTTTCTGGTCATGAATATATATGACTGACATGACATGAGGCTCTAAACTATTTAAGCTATTCTTTGTGCTGAGCTTCTAATTCATCACAAAAAGTTAGGGGCAATTCACGCAGTTGAAGGCTCTAGGGAATAGCAAGCGCTAAACCTAGAATAGAAAAACAAAGTTAGAAGTACAAAATTACAAAATCTGTCAAATAAGCTGGAATCTACTGTTGAATGCTTCCAACTTTGAGATTATTGCTGAAATTATTGTGGTTTGTGGGGTTGGAAAGCATAGAAGTGAAAAAGGGGAATCATCAATTAAAGCATTGGGTCAGAAGATGTTGATGGAGATGAAAAGTCCACTCAGGATTGATAAAAGGAAGATGGATGCTTTGTTGGTAAAGGTAAAGCTGTTAAAATCTGGTTATGTGAATTGAGGAAGCCATGATTTTGCTTCTATATATGATGTTATGTGCTTTCGCAGACAACAGGAAGCCGAGGAAATTCAGGGCCTGTTTGTGGTTCTAAAATAAATGAGTTACCTAACAACCATTCATCAAACACACTGTCTAGGAGTGAAGTTATTGCTTCCAAATGGTAGTCAAGGAAGGATCATGGTCCTAGCATGGAAGTTTAACACAAAATCACTTAACACTAAGGACTTTCATGAATTTTGTAGAATATTGTAACATTTTTTGTAATTCTCTCAAGTTGTAGCAAACCAATGTAAATATTAAAATGAAATTTGGCCTTTGATGATATTTGAATTTTTCTTGTTTATTGGTAAAATTTGCACTTCTTTTTACCTTTGATCACATTTTTTTTTGATATTATTGATGATTATTTGATATTAAATGTTTTTATTGTAATTAACTTTATTATGTTGAAAAGTGATAGAAAATAAAATAAAAATACTATAAATAAAAAAATATTAAAGTAAATAATAATTTAAATATAATAGTAAAATAATATTATATTTAAAATTATTTTACTAAATAATAATTTAAATAAAAATATTATTTGAAATTTATAAATCAGATTACGACGGTTAAAACCGCCGCAATTTCTAACCTACGGCGGTAGAATAACCGTCGCAAACAACAACAAAAACAAAAAATAAAGTCAAATTCACGACGGTATATAACCGTCGCTATCTGTTGTGCGTGACAGTTTTTGCAACCGTCGCGAAATAGGCTGGGGACGCACGATTCTGCGACGGTACTTCTACCGTCGTAGATTGTAAATTGCGACGGTTTTAACCGTCATAATCAGCCAAAATAACCGTCCCAATCTATCATTTTTCTTGTAGTGAATTTTCCTCTCTTTGAAGCTTGCTAGAGTGTTAATTAAATAGAGGAGAAGGAGGGGACATGGTAGCAAGGTAGTAAACGACCATAAACATGTTCTTCAAGGCCATGAGTGAGAATTTGAATTTTGGCAAAAGACATGGAACTCTTGTCTCTTTTTGAATTTGAATGAATGTGGACACAAATGACTTTCGAATGCCCTCCTTTGAATGACTCTGATTGCCTCCTTCGAATGGCCTAGAGTCTTATCATTGGGGCTTCTTCGATTGAGCTCCTATTCAGCTAGCCCAATCGAAAGCTCTTTCCAGGTTAATCGAAGCTTCCTTCAGTATGAATTCTTGTGCAGGAAACTTGAGTATGGCAATATATGGGATTTTGGGCCAGCCAACATCTTTGCATATTTCTCTTTCATTTTGGCTAACTAGATATAATCTTTGACCAAACTCCTTTCTTTCAGACAACACTAAGTGTCCTTTGAATGGGCCTTTAAATTGCTTATTCGAATGGATCATTTATGTGTCCTTGAATGGCTTTAGATTGGACCCATCTATTTGCCTCAATTGTTTGATTCAGATACCCTCAAGTGAGAACTTCATTCTGTCAATCGAAGCCTCCTTCGTCACTTCCTTCGAATGCCATTGCACAGGAAGCCTGGGCCTGGCCACATGTAGGACCAAGACTCATCATAAGATAAACTTGCATTATGTGTCTCTTTCGAATGGTCAGCAATATGTGTATCCTTTGTTTTGAACCAACGTGTGTGCTCTTTTGAAGGGACCACATGCATCACTTGTGTGCATCACCTGTAATTCCTTTGAATGGGCCAACAAAGTGAATACTTCAAATGGAACACCCACATATGCCCCTTTAAATCTATCAATACATGTCCTTCGAATGGGGCAAATATATGTCCTTCGAATGGACCATGCACCCGTCCTTCGAATGCACCAGTTGTGTACCTTCTAAAAGGGGCATCCAGGTATGTCATAGTGCAGAAGCTATGTGTGTTGAAGGTTTTCAAGGGTGGAATCAAAGCTTGCATGCAGGAGGTCCCTGCCTTTTGAATGGAAGGAAATCTTCCAAAAGGCATTTGTCTTCTGAATCGGAGGGCGCCAGTAGGAATCCAACACCTTATGAATCAAAAGAACCCAGTAAGAAGCCAACGCCCTCTGAATCGAAAGAAGCCAGTAGGAAGCCACTAACTTCTGAATCGAAGGACACCAACAAGAGGCCCTTCCCTTTTGAATCGAAGAAGGCTGTTTCAAAGGAAACAAATGCCCAGTCGGAGCTTGTATACAACAAACAAGCAAAAGGCCAAGGCTTCAATCGAAGCTTGGAAATTTGAAGCAAGCTTGAAGTAGGTTAGGTGCTCAATTGAAGTAAATTTTGTGCAACCTTGACTTAGTCGAAATTTTGTGAGAAAAATCTTTGAGAGATGGGAGGGAAAATTTTAGGGTACAACAGCATGGTTAGTTTCAATCAAAACAACATAAAAAATAAAACACAAATTTTGAATAAAACATGAAACCGGTGATGCATGGATGTGTGTTTCAGGCACTTTATATCATCAAGAATGATCCCAACTTACTCTGTAATGTCCCTGGAATCGATTTGGATGGTTGCTTGCCCTTGAAGATGGCTAGAAATAGGGTTTCGAGTTTGCCCTAATTTTGACAAAATTTGAGGTTTTAAGTGAGTGTCTTGCATAACCTTTTTTCGTTCTCTTCTTGTCTGAATGTGAAGTGTATATATACGGAAGAAATTAAGTCAAAGATGGGCTTGTACATATTCATGAAATTATATCTTTTATTTTGTTTGAAAATAACTTGGAATAAGATAAAACCCTAAAGATTTGTTTCAAGAATATGTTCACACGGTCTCTAATGCAATCTTGGGCCTCCAAAAGATTTGAAACAAAAGCCTTTTATGCTTTGCACCTCCACTTAATATTTATTTGATTTAATTTTGAATTTAAGTGAATAAAATAAAAATAAATGAAATAAAAAATTAAAAGGGTGTATGAATAGATTTAAAGGTCCATTATGAGGTCAAGAACACGTTTGGACTCTAAAAGATAAGCCCATTAGCCCAAAAATTCAAGTTTGTTCAAATTGGATTTTATGCATTTTCTCAAAATTGTCCAACTTGCACACATCATAACTCTATCAATTTTCATCATATGAAGGTGATCTTAGACTTTTTAGAAACCTCAAGATGTCACTTAAAATCTCTATGTTGGTCATTTTCTATTTGAATACTTTTATCTTGATGTAAATTGTTTTGACAAAAAGTATCTTTTTGTTGACTTTTGAAATGACCTATAATGTTTTGGCCCCTATCTCTCAAATGAAGAATTTTTGGACTTGATCTTAGAGATACAAAGTTGTAGAGAATTGAATTTCCATCAAAATGAGATTTGGTTGAGAAAAATCTAATGAAGTATGTGAAAGTTATGCTTGGTCAAAGTTCAGTTGACTTCTCCTAAAGAAAACTCTAATTTAGCAACTTTTGACTTTTGATGGATCTTAAGTTTTCTTGATGAATCATGATCAACCCTTGATCAAATGATGAATGTGACTTCAAAATATTGATGTTGACCAAAAATCTTGAGTTTTGACTGTATGTTGATCACAATTGACTTTTTTATCCAATATAGTTGATTTTCAATCACCTGAGCAATTGACTGAGCAAACTTGTTGTGC